TCTATACCATGGAATACTACATGGCAATGAGAAACAATGAAATCTGGCCATGTGTAGCAACATGGATGGACCTTGAGGGTGTTATGCTGAGCGAAATAAGTCAGGCAGAGAAGGACAAATATCATATGTTTGCACGTATAGGAGGATTAGGAGGAACCTGACGGAGGACCAAGGGGGAGAAGAAGGGCGGAAATGGTGGGGGAAAGGGAGAGAGGCAAACCATGAGAGACTCTTGAATGCTGACAAAAACTGAGGACTGATGGATGTGGGGGGGAGGGAGGTGATGGGCATGGAGGAGGACACTTGTGGGGATGAGCACTGAGTGTTATGTGGAAACTAATTTGACAATAAACTATTTGTAAAAAAAAAAAAAAAAAGAATCTGAGGTGTTTTTTTACTTGTCTCTTTTTCAATGTTTTATTTTCTTTGCTTTATTTCTTAAGTACACATATAAGTGAAATCATATGATATTTGTCTTTCTCTAACATAGTCCACTTAACATTATAACATCTAGGTCCATCCATGTTACAAATGGCAAGATTTCATTCTTTTTTTATTGCTGATTATATTACACAGACACAGACACACACACACACAGACACACACCACAGCTTCTTCATTATTCATCATTAGTGGACACTTGGTTTGCTTTCATATCATGGCTATTTTACATAATGCTATAATACAGATAGTAGTGCATATATCTTTTTGAATTCATGTAAATAAAAACTTTTGCACAGCAAAGGAAACCATCAACAAAACAAAAAGATAACCTACAGAATGGGACAAGATATTACAAATGATATATCTAATAAGGGGCTAATATGCAAATTAAATAAAGATCTTGCATAACTCAACACCAAAAAAAAAAAAAAAGAATAAATCACTACAAAATGAGCAGAAGATCTGAATAAACAATTCTCCAAAGAAGATATACCAGATGGGCAACAGACACACGAGAAGATGCTCAACATCACTAATCATCAAGGAAATGTAAATTAGGATTACAATGAGGTATCACTTTACACCTATCATAACGGCTAAAATTTAAAAAAAAAAGACAAGAAATATCAAGAATTGGTGAGAATGTAGAGAAAAAGGAACCCTCATGCTTAGTGGGTGGGAATATAAATTTGTGAAGCCCATTATGGAAATTCCTCAAAAAATTAAAAATAGGACTACCATATGGTCCAGTATTTCCACTATTGGATATTAACCAAAAGAAAACAAAATTTTTTCTAGCTCTTTTTAAAAATGTTTTCTAGGGTCGCCTGGGTGACTCAGTAGGTTAAGCGTCCGACTTCAGCTCAGGTCATAATCTCACAGTTCATGGGTTCGAGCCCCGCGTTGAGCTCTGTCTGTCAGAGCCTGGAGCCTGTTTCAGATTCTCTGTCTGTCTCTCTCTCTGACCCTCCCCTGCTCACGCTGTCTTTCTCTCTCTCAGAAATAAATAAAACATTTAAAAAATTTAATTTTTTTAGTTATTTATTTTGAGAGAGAGAGAGGGAGGGAGGGAGAGAGGGAGAGAGGTAGAGAGAGGGAGAGAGAGAGAGAGAGAGAGAGAACAATCAGAGGAGGAGCAGAGAGAGAGTGAGAGAAAGAGAACCTTAAGCAGATTCTTTGCTGCCAATGCAGAGCCTGATGTGGGACTTGAACTGTGAGATCATGACCTGAGCTGGAATCAAGTGTCAGACGTTCAACCGACTGAGCCACCCAGACACCAATTTCTAGCTCTTTTAATAAGAACTTTTTAAAAGCCCATAAGCAGCTACAGACACAATTAAAAAGTAGACAAACTTTAAAAAAGGAGAAAAAGCAAAGACACATCCTTCACTACACAACAAATACAAAGTGCTACTAGTGTTACTCCACTAATATCTTGTGGGAGGCCTAGCTTTCCATGCACTCAAGAATACTTTCCATTATTGTACAGGAAGACCAGGCTGCATTCGGGTGTGATGATGTCAAACCAAATGTGTGCTGGCACTTCTGAGTTCAAGTTCCACAGTTCTGGTCTTAAGTGGGGTTGATAACCAGTCTGCGTTGAATCCAAAAACCAAAGTAGATACCAAACCCAATCAGCATCCAGACACCAAATCGGGCCCAGGTGCGAGCCATCATCTGCATCATAAGGTAAACATTCATGAAGATGCTCAGTAGTGGAATGAGAGGCAGAGCAGGGACCTTAAAGTGAGAGGCACTGGGCCTCTGTGGCTGTCTCCAGATGACCCCAGTGAGCCCAGTGATGAGCACCAGGAGTACCACAACCACTGTAATCCACACTGGGTCTCCAGAAAGCAGAACTGGCCACTGGGCCAGCCCCAAGCAAAGAAGAATGATCAGCAGAATAAGCAGTGAGGAGCAAACACAGACAACCCTGCCAGAGAGTGGAGTGGGGGAGGAGCTGCCTGGAAAAAGTAGTCCCCGTGGAGTCAGCCTCTCTGCTGTAGGTCCATTCTCCTCCTGCACCACTGTTTCATTTCCCCCACTCTGCATCTCAGGTTGATACCTGACAATGAGAATACCAAAAGTCATCAGAGAGAAAACTATCAGGGTCCCAAGTGACATGAGTTCGAGAAGATCAGTGAGTCCAAAGAAGAATGAGGTGATTGCTGCAACAATGCCAAAGGTCACAGTGGCCATCATGGGGGTGTATGTATATGTTAGGATCCTGGCAAGGACAGGGAACAGGAAGCCTTCCTGTGCCATTGCAGGATGTGCCATCACATATTGTATGAGGAACATAAAGTCAAAGATGTCTTCAAAAACAATACACAGGAATCCAAAGGCTACAACATAGTAGGCAGGGACCCAACCAATATGGAGAAATGCTTCAGGCAAGGTGTTCCCAAGTTGAAGTTGGTAGTAAGGCACCATAAGTGTAAGTGCCGCAGAGACACCAAAATACAAGAAAAAGCATATGAACAGTGTAATCACAATGCCCACCGGAATGGAATGCTGGGGATTCTGGGCTTCCTCAACTCTGGTAATAATATTAGTGAAACCCCAAAATGCATAGATACAGGTAGATGCTCCATGGAAAATCCCTTCCAAGCCAAAAGGCACAAATCCTCCAGAGCCCAGAGGGCCCAAGGTAGAGGAGCCATTGAGTCCAGCCATTTTGTAGTCCTCTTCTGTGAGCCTCCAGTTGTGCAGGTCCCCCTTAATGAAGCCAGAAATGATGACGAAGCTTAGAACCAAAATTTTCACCAATGTGGACACTTTGATAACCAGAGGAATATACCTAATGTTCCGACTCAGCAATTCCATGAAAAACAACACAAGGAACACAACAAAGAAGACTAGAATTTCTACAAATGCACGGGAAACATTTTGTGAGATACTGTCATACAGCATCTGAAAGATCTGGTTTCCAAAAAAACTGTCAAAAATGAAGATCCAGGTTCGTATCACAATGTTTACATAGGCAACATTTATGAAAATGAGGGCCCAGCCAGTGATGAAAGCCCCGAGTTCACCTATGGTGACAAAACTGTAGTGATATGAAGAACCAGAATGTGGAACTCGGGTACTAATCTCTGCATAGCTCAGCCCAGCCAACACTGAAGTTAGGCTGGCCACCAAAAAGCAGATCACAATGGATGGGCCTGCTTTATTTCTAGCCACCTCACCAAGCAGGATATACACACTTATATCCACTGTGTAGTTCACACCCAGGGCCACTACCTCCGGTGTGGTCAGGCTTCTGGCAGTCTCAGCCATAGGTTGTTCCAGTGTACATCTGCGTAACAGCTTTTGACAAAATCTGCGAAGTGCTTGACAAAACATTCTAGCTAGAATGGAAGTGGATTCTAGGATCAGAGAGCTGTGACAAGTTCAGGGAGCTGTAAGTCTCAGATAGGTTCTGTGATGCTGAGTTAAGCTGAATTGGGTTGGGGATCTTGCAAATGGTTGCTGAGTTCAATGATGCTGCTTCATGTTTCTTCAGCTATGTGCTGTCCGGCCAGAATGCCTAAGACATGGTAAATAATAAATATTTACTGAACAATGGTGTTCAGCTAACAAACCAAAGCTCAGAAGTCACATGTCACTTGTTACAGCCCAAATATCACAGAAACTGACACAAAAGGACATCATATAAGAATCAACTTTGCTTTCCACCCAGAAAAAGTGCCAAATATCTCCCAAAATTCTCCTTTTACATAATACATGACATAATCCAATTTTGGTTTATCAAATTCATGTAGCTTCATGTACTAATTAAGCTGGAAAACACAAGAGGGCATGAATTTATTGTGCAATAATTCACACATGAGATGTTTTCTTGGTGCTTAGGCATGAGTTATGACACATTAAGTCATGGAATGGAGGGACTTATTGAAACTACAGAACCATTTTTAAAATATCATCTGTGTTTAAAATACAAATATTGCTCCCATGTTCTTAAAATCTTTAGCCCCCAAATCAGATAGCCAAGGTCACATGTCACTTTGGCCTCCTTTATCTTCATTCTGCATCATCATTTAGCTCTACTGATGGCAAAGCATGTACAGTCCAACCCTTCCCTTTACCCACCTAGGCCACCATGGGTGCTGTGAGAAGAATGGAAGAGGGAGAAAAGGGCAGGGCCTTCATAACTCCCTGCACGAGGAGAGGAACAGGCTATCTGGTGAGGAAACACTGGAGAACTGGGTGAAGCAGTGGACCCAACCAAGGGTCCATTACTAAGAAGGGAGAAGAGCCAGAAAGGCCATTTTGTGAATTCTGATATTCACTGAACCTCAGCCAAAGCAACCAGACAAAATTCACTACAGTTTTTATGTCCACAGTTATGAGAGTATGATGGATAGAGAGAAAAGAAGTAAGTCACCTATCTCAGTAGCTGACAAGTAAAATAATTGCTTCTGTCTCCTCCTTCTCTGGGTTCCAGGAGAGAATATGAGCTCACTTCTACAGAAAGTCTCCTTACTGACCACACTGTGCTCTATAAACACCGTACACCATCTATGATGTCAGCTGCCAGTAGCCTGAGAATCTGCCCTGTTCTGTGAGCTTGTATCAAAACACTCACTTGTAACTGCCTATTAATTTTTTACAAGGAGTTATTTTTAACTGGCTCAAAGTATTGTCTGAACATATCAAATATGTTTTCTCAATGAACAAATCCTGCAGGTGTTTCCTACCCCTCCCCCAACTGCTATTCAAATGGCCTCCTCTTCAAGGAAAACAAGGTTTTAGATGAACAATTCAGAGGAATGCCCTGGAAATAACTAGTGGAGAACGGAGAAAACACAGTGATGCAGCCTCCGTTCTCCTCCTTACTCGGGCTTTGGGTTTTATTTTTATTTATTTATTTATCTATTTATTTATCTATTTATTATTTATTTTTAAATAGTTTATTGTCAAGTTGGTTTCCATATAACACCCAGTGCTCATCCCCACAAGTGCCCCTCCTCCATGCCCATCACTCCCCTTCCCCTCTCCCTCACCCCCATTAGCCCTGAGTTTGTTCTTGGCATTCAACAGTCATGAGAGACTCTTGAATACTTATCTATATTTGTATTTATTTTTACTTATTAGAAAGAGAGAGCGGGAGTTAGGGAGAGGGGCAGAGAGAGAGAAAGAGAACCTTAAGCAGACTCCATGTTCAACATGGAGCCTAATGCAGCACTGGGATTGCAACCTGAACTGAAATGAAAAGATGCACGTGGAATTGACTGAGCTACCCAGCCGCCCCTCAGACTTCAATTTTGAGAGAATTTTAGGAAGTGTTCTCAGAGGTTTCAACAAACAGATCAAGTAAAACTTCAAAAAAATCTTCTCTACAGATGACCAAGAGGACCCCTAGGATTATGGGTCAGACCTTCTGTCTACATATCCACCTAGACTCTTTATTTGTCAATAAACTGTTCCAATGTTATGATCTACGAACAAGCATCTGAGACAGATAAGGAAGATCAATGAACTCAATCAACTTTCTACACAATGAATATGATTGATGTGTCTCCACCCATCAATCCTCAAAAGCCTCCCGTCACCCTTATGCTGCCCTTCTTGTGTGCTCTCCTAGCACCTGGGCTTCCCCCGTGTGCCATTTATCCTAATGTATCAGAATTCCAGCTCAGCTTCCTGAGAATTTATAAACATCAGAGAGAATCTCCTCCAATAGACTATGAGTTAGGTGTTCAATAAATATTTGTTGAACAAATGTACAAACTGAGAAGAGAAAACTGAAAGAGCACATAATCCATAATTCCTATCTACTTGACTTTGAGATACATACTTTGTAGCCAAGCAACCTTTATAAATCTGGCTCAGATAAATATATAAATGGACTAACTTTCTTGCAGAAGTTAATCAAAATTAAAAATGAAGGGAAAACCACCTGTGATAAAACCTTGACTGCACATTATTCAAAGCAGGTATGAGCCACATGTAGGTTATAAAGACTTGTTTGCCTTTGAGGACACTTGCATTTGTGGGGATGAGCACTGAGTGTTATATGGGAACCAACTTGACAATAAACTATTTGTATAAATAAATAAATAAATAAATACAAAATAAAACTATCAGACTGTCTTGAGTTAAAAGGCTTCCTTGGGTTATAGGCAACCAAGCATCCATGCCCTACTTTTTGAGACATTGTGCTCAGGCCCTATAATCTAGGTAGTATGTCCTTAGGCAAAGGTTCTCACTTTCAGGGACAGAGGGAAGCATAATAAAAGATACCTGGGGACATCTTCAAACTTCAGATCCTCTCTTTCTGGAGATTTTTGTCCAACTAGTCCTGTACTTCCCATGACTGTTCTAAACCACCCGAAATGAAAATAAATTGTCCTCAATTTCAAAGGGAAGAGATTCTAAAAGCTTCCTTCACTGGAAGGCAGGACATTTTGGTAGTTAGGAATAAAGGCTCTTCAGGTAGAAGTTCAGGTTCTACATACAACTCAACTAATACCAGGTGATTCTGGACAAAGAGATTCACCTGCTGGGGACTTAGTTTCCACAACAGACAAATGGGAGTGAAAGTAAATACCTCGTGGGGTAATTGTAAGGAGTAAGTGAAATAATGCCTGCGAAGTACTCAATGCCTAGCAAACAATATGTACTTAACATAATTGACCTAATGTTTACTATTGAAATCTGACCCAAAGTTTCCAGACTTTGAAAATCAATTAGTCTTTATAAATGTCGAGCCTCAAAATCATCCAATACAACTCAAGCCTGTACGCTAGCCATCATGAGACAATTAAACGTTTTAGTGTATATATTTTGCCTTGAAACTCAAGGACTCCAATTAGACACCCTCACACGTGCTGACATTAAACATGTGGGGGCCCTAGACTAACTGAGTTATACCAGGCATTGAAAAATGCAGAAGCTGAAAATAATAATAATAATAATAATAATAATAATAAATAATATCCTTGCTTACAGATGCACCATCTCATTTCTGGGAGAGGCAGTGCTGAGTACTGTAGATGTAAGAGAAATTAACATTATGTAAAATCTTTGGATTTGATCCCTGTTTCTTCTGCTTTATTGTATAATCTCTTCTGCTTAATTTCTCTAACCCTCAATTTTCTCATCCACAAGGAACCTTACTTCACTTCCCTTACTCAACATGAGAATTCAAGAAAATATAAAAACTCTCATATACTGTGTGTAAGAGTGTAACTGGGGCCACCACCCTGAAGCACAGTCTTAGAGCAATTAAGAATGTACAGCACCCCCACCCCACAATCCTTCTACAAAGTAAACACCCAAAGGAAACTCTATCCTGAGTACATAAAAAGGCCCATATGAGCATGTTCATCACAGGACTGTTTGTGGTAGCAAGAAGTTGGTAGCTATGCCTGTGTCTGTTACTAGATGAATATATAAGTAAAATTTGCCATATATGCACAATGAAATACTGCACAGCACTCAGAAATCATACAGTAGATTTACATACAGCAACATGGGTAGATCTCAAAAACAATGTTAGGAAGCAAAATTAAAAGTAAAAGGATGAGGTTTATAGCACAATATCATTTATGTAAATTTAAAGAACAGCCAAAAAATGTGTTTGTCAAAGATACATACATACTTGTTTAAAATGTCACATTATTTCTCTGCTCTAAACTTTTCACTTGTTTTCCTTTTTATTCAGAGTGGGAGCCAAAATGTGCACTTACAATGGCCTACAAAGTCTTATAGTATTTGTCACTGACCCAGCTACTTCTCAGCCTCTGTTTCTCTCTTTTCCCATTTTTCTTAGGCCACTGGCCTCGTAAGCATTCTGGCTTCCTAACATACCAGGCAAGCCCTTACCTCAGGGCCTTTACAATGGCGTCCCCTATAACTGCACCACTTTTGGCCCAGATATTTACATGGTTGCTTCCTTAATGGCATTTCACGAAATAGTATAAAACTGTGTAGCAATGCCTTCTTTAATCACCACATAAAAATGCACAATGTACCTTACCCTCACTATTTTTTCCTTCAGCGCATATCCCTATTTAACATAAGTTTTACCTATTTATTTGTTCATGATTTATCTCACTGAAAAATAATGTAAGCTCCATGAAAGCAGGATTTTTTTTTGCTCTTGACTGTTATCTCTGCACTTACAACTGTGCTGACACATAGTCACCCATGTGAATTTGTTGAGTGGATGAATGTATCTAAATACACATATAGAGCATGGACTGGAGAAGCATTCATTAAATACATTAAAGCACGTGTCTCCAGTTAGGAAAGGAAATAAGATTAGAGATCAGGATGAAAGGAGAAAATAAAATGCATTGATACAGGGCCTGACAGGGAACGATGGTGCTAACAGTCCA